CACACATAGAATATCTCTGGTTGTACACAAAATATAGTCACACCATTTGTGTCTTCATACATGTACTTAGGGTAATGATGTCTATCTCATTCCATCATCTTTTCTACCCTATGCCCCTCCCTTCTCCTCAAAATATAGTTTTAATCACATTGAGTTATGTATATATAAGAAACACTTGACAGATACCCAGTATTCAGCGCTATTCAGACATGTTTTTCAATACAAATATAAATAAATCATAAGTAGAAAATAATAACACTTCACTAAGGATCAAATATGTATATGTGTGTGTGTGTGTGTGTGTGTGTGTGTATATATATATACACACACATATATATCTATCTCCATGGCATGTTAATGTAAATATTTCTTATTATGGAAAAGAAGATTATTTATTTTTTTAATTTTTTTTGAGTTGTATTTGGACAAAATACTTTTATTTTATTTACTTATTTATATGTGGTGCTGAGGATTGAACCCAGTGCTTCACACATGCTAGGCGAGTGCTCTACTGCTAAGCCACAACCCCATCCCAGAAGATTATTTATTTTAAAAATATCACTTATGTTTGTGTTTGCCCTTTTTTACTGGCAGTGGACTTGATTCTTCTGTGCCTACCGTAAAAACTTATTTCTTTTTTATTCTGGTAAAATATACATAAAATTAAATTGACCATTACAATCATCTTTAAGAATACAATTTAGTACTAGATAGTATATTCACAGTGTTGTAAAACAATTACATCTATAAAGTTTCTGACAGTTTATATATAAAAAAGAACCAGTGCCTTCCAACACCCATTCCCAATTTCTTCCCTAAGGCCCTGGAATGACTAAAATGCATTTTTTTCAATGCATTTGCTTTGTCTTAAAAAATTTTACATAATTTGACATATGCAGTGTATGGCAAGTTCTTCTAATTTCTTTCCCTTAACATAATGCTTTCAAGGCCATCTATGTTGCATATTTTAGTATTCTAATTAAACTCTTGATGAATACAATTCTACTGTGTGGACATACCAAATTTTAGTTAGCTGTCATGGTTATTATTATGACATCTGCAGTACTGTGGATAAATCCAGGTATACTCTACCACTGAGCAACACTCACAGACTTTTTTCTTTTTGAAGCAGGGATTCCATAAACTTGCTCAAACTTGAGGTTTCCCTACCTATCCTCTAGAGTTCCTGGGATTCTAGGTTGCACCACTATGCCTGGCAGTTATCAGTTAATCTTCTATTAGACATATGGGTTGTTTGCAACTTTGGTTATTTTGAATAATTCAACTATAAATATTCATATACAAATTGTTTTCTAAGTACATTTTTAGTTATTTTTGTACATGTCTGGGATCAATTCTGTTCATTATGTAATTCTGTGTTAGTTATTTTTTATTATTATTTACATATTTATCATTTAGAATACATGAAGGTGCTTTCCACAATACTTGCACCATTTTGCATTCTCTCAAAGATGTATGGAATATTCAATTTTTCATAGCCTTGATATTTTTTGTTTGTTCAGTTTTAGGTTTTGTATATTTTAATACTTTTTTGTTTACAGTACACAGTATAATATTTAGATTAAACCACCTCCCATGTTCTTGGATGGTGAGAATCAATATTGTCATAATGGCCATACTACCAAAAGAGCTATGCAGATTCAAGGAAATCCCCATTAAAATTCCTATGATCTCTTCATAGACAGAGAAAAAAAGCAGCCATGAAATTTATTTGGAAAAATAAGAGGCCCAGAATAGCTAAAGCAATCCTTAGTGAGGAGTACAAAGCCTGAAACATTATAATATCAGGCCATAAATTATAATTCAGACCTACAGTAACAAAAAAAAAATCATGATATTGCACAAAAGTACACAAGAAAGCCAATGGAACAGAATAGAAGAAACCAAGACAACCCCACATAAATACAGTTACCTCATATTAGACAAAGATGCTAAAAATGCACACTGGAGAAAAGATTGCCTCTTCAACAAATGGTGCTGGGCAAACTTAAGTCCATATGTAGTAGAATGAAAGTTAATTTGTATTTCTCACCCTGCACAAAAATCAACTCTAAGTGGACCAAAAACCTAGAAATCATACCAGAATGTACTAGAAGAAAACATAGGCCCAGCACTCCAACCCATTGGCACAGGAACTGACTTCCTGAATAAGACTCTAAAATAAATGAATGAATGATTGAATGAATGAATGAATGAATAAACAAACAAACAAATAAATAAATAAATAAATAAGATGGCATCAAACTAAATATCTTCTTCACAGCAAAAGAAAAATAGTGTGAAGATAGAACCTATAGAATGGGAGAAAATCTTTGCCACCTGTATATGTTGTTAATTTCTAGGATATACAAAGAACTCAAAAAGCTTAATACACACACACACACACACACACATGAAAAAAAAACAATCAGTAAAGGGGCAAAGGAACTGAATACACCCTTATCAAAAGAATAAATATGAATAATCAATAAATATGTGAAAAAATGTTTAACATTTCCAGATATTAGAGAAATACAAATTAAAATGACACTGAGATTCCATCTCACTCCAGTCAGAGTGTCAAGTGTCAAGAATACAAGTAACAAATGCTAAAGAGGATGTGGAATGCTTATATACTGTTGGTGGGATTGTAGATTGTTGTAACCTCTCTGGAAAGCAGTATGGAGATTCCTGAAGGAATGGAGCCACCATTTAACCCAGTTATCCCACTCCTCAGTATTTATCCAAAGGACTTAAAATCAGCATACCACAGTGACACAGCTACATTAATGTTTATAGCAGCTCAATTTACAGTAGCTAAGCTATGAAACTAACTTAGGCATCCTTCAGCAGATGAATGGATAAAGAAATTGTTGCTTAGGGGAACACAATGGAATGTTATTTAGCCATAAATAAGAATGACTTTATGACTTTTGCCTGTAAATGGATGGATCTGGAAAAAATTATGCTAAGTCAAATAAACAAATTTCCCCAAAACAAAAATTCTAATTTTTTTGCTAATAAGTGAAAGCTAAACCATGTAAAGTGTTGGAGGATAAGAAGAGAAGTTTAGTATATTAGATAATGGTGATCAAAAAGAAGGGATGCGAATAGGAATAGGAAAGACAGTAGAATGAATCTAACATAATTTTCCTATGTACACATATAAAAATAACTAAGTGAATCCCCTCATCATGCCCACCCACAAGAATAGGATCCTAATTAGAATACAATATATGCCATGCTTGTATAATTTCATCACAATGGATTCTACTGTCATATAGAACTAAGAAGAACCAGAGCATGCTACAGGGACACTGCTACATCGATGTTCAAAGCAGCACAATTCACAATAGCTAGACTGTGGAACCAACCTAGATGCCCTTCAATGGATGAATGGATAAAAAAAATGTGGCATTTATACACAATGGAGTATTACTCTGCATTAAAAAATGACAAAATCATAGAATTTACAGGGAAATGGATGGCATTAGAGCAGATTATGCTAAGTGAAGCTAGCCAATCCCTAAAAAACAAATGCCAAATGTCTTCTTTGATATAAGGAGAGTAACTAAGAACAGAGTAGGGTGGAAGAGCATGAGAAGAAGATTAACATTAAACAGGGATGAGAGGTGGGAGGGAAAGGGAGAGAGAAGGGAAAATGCATGGAAATGGAAGGAGACCCTCAGAGTTATACAAAAGTACATACAAGAGGAAGTGAGGGGAAGGGGAAAAATAATATAAGGGGGACAAACGAATGTCAGTAGAGGGAGCAGAGAGAGAAGAGGGGAGGGGAGGGGAGGGGAGGGGGGATAGTAGAGGATAGGAAAGGCAGCAGAATACAACAGACACTAGTATGGCAATATGTAAATCAATGGATGTGTAACTGATGTGATTCTGCAATCTGTATATGGGGTAAAAATGGGAGCTCATAACCCACTTGAATCAAATTGTGAAATATGATATATCAAGAACTATGTAATGTTTTGAACAGCCAACAATAAAAAATTTAAAAAAAAAAAAAAAGAACTAAGAAGAACCAATAAAATTAAATAAAATATGAAATTGTTTGAAGAGCAAGATAAGTTTATCCTGTTATAAACATTATATAATATATACATGTATCAAAATCTTTATTGCATAAGTATGTACAATTTTTATTTTAATTATTAAAAATAAGTTTAAATTTAAAAAACAAAAATATTCAAGCAGGATTGTTGTTGCTATTTGTTATTTTAATAATATACATAAATACCATAAAACATTTGAACTCAAATTTACTAGTAAATATTTCCTTTAGTTGTCTACCTCATTTCATTTCAAAAGTTTCTCTCATACCACCAGTATTGGATTCACTAGAGAACTTGCTACATACTCAGAAAACCCAGCTCCATCCCAGAACTATTTATTGAATCACATTCTGCATTTTAGTAAATCTCTGATTCATGGTTGTGCAATTAAAATTTGAGAATTCCCCTTCTTAGTCATCATAACTTTCTCATATGAGATATATATATATATATATAAAATTTAGATTATGATATAAAAATAACAAATGTATAGTCTTGTGTTGATGCCTGAATTTTATATTTTATTTCATAAATGTGGAGTATATACACTCTTTTTGGACTTATGTCACTTTTTCTTCAGAGGTAGATAATGGTAACACTGTGTTTAAAACTATCTTTATAAATAAGTAAAGTCATCACTTACATGAGAATCCTTTTACAAACTCTCAGCTCAACTTTATTTTGTTTTTTAAGAGAGAGTGAGATGAGAGAGGGAGAGAATTTTAATATTTATTTTTTAGTTTTCTGCAGACACAACATCTTTGGTTCTTTTTTATGTGGTGGTGAGGATTGAACCCTGGCCGCACGCATGTCAGGCGAGCGCACTACGCTTGAGCCACATCCCCAGCCCTCAGCTCAACTTTAGTTAGATTACAAACTCTGAATTATCATATGGTCAAGTTGCTATTTATTTACCTATTCTTACTTCAGGAACTGTTGACATTCAGGGATGTGGCCATTGATTTCACTGAAGAGGAGTGGGAATGCCTGCAGCCTGCTCAGCAAAAATTATATAGTGATGTAATGTTAGAGAACTACAGAAACATGGTGTTCTTGGGTAAGTATAACTAATTTTTAATTATTGTTATTTAATTTTCTTCCCTTGAAGATATTTCTGGGAAGTTCTCTGCAAGAATGAGTTTTAGATTTGTGCTTTCAAGAAAAAGGCATTGTTTGGTACAGATAAATGTTAATGATATTCCTTTGAGTCTTTAATCTCTTCCTTTCTTGGTTAGTTATATATTCTTCACTTTACATAAGTGGTACTTAGAGGAATTCAGTGATGTAAAATATTGTGGCCTACATATAGCATTGGACACATTGAGAGCCCCAAATGTCAAGGAGGACGTCAAACTTCAAAGTGTTGATGGAGAAGTTATCCACCAGAAAATATTTTTTAGAAGCTTAGGTTTATTTCTCTTGTTGTCATTGAACACATATGCCCTATGTTTATCATGCTTTCAAATTCTTTAAAGTCTCCTTTTTTCTCCAGTGATGTACCAGTATATTCAAATTAACCACCAAAACCCGCCTTAGCTTATGAGGGTCAGCATGATATTATTTGTGGGCCTTTAGGAAATTGATGCATATTTTTGGAGAACTGTAGGTCAAACCATTGTAATAAATTAATGCTGAGAGCCACAGCTCAGTCGGAATGGCCCCTGGCATTTTGCCAATAGTATTGGTTGAGAGGCAAGCCACTAAGACGATGCTGGATTGATTCGGTTGTATATTAGACCTTTACTGTCCGCCTCGGCCTGCTACTTTGGAGTTCTCGAGCTACTTTGGACTTGAGCTACTTTGGACTTCTCGTGGGGATTCCCGGAGAGTTCCCATTGGTTGGGGAAGTGCGGGAGGAGGGATTTTGAGAGGAGGGATTTCCGGTTGGTGGTTCCTGGAGGAGCCATGTGGCATTCGGGAGAGTTCCCAGGGAACCTGTGTGGAGTGTGCTGGTGGAGTTCAGAAATAAAGTTTGTTCCTGCTTCAGTGGCTCGTGATTTGTGCCCAGACAGACTACGGCAAATTAATATTATAAAGCAATCTCTCCAATATTATTTATATATTTATTCATTAAAATTTCCTTATCAGAGCTCTTTATAAATACTTGTAATGGATTTTCTGTAAAGTGAAGATCAAGGTTTATAATGAATGCTCTTTTGGGATCTATAGTCACAGTTGCAAATTGTAGTTACATAAAAAGGTTTGTAAAATAGTAAATCTGTGGATATATACAATTTTGTTTGTTAAATTTTCTTTTTCTTCCATTTTATTGAATAGGTCTTATGTTGTGGAGTAGGTTTTCTCACATAATTTAGTACTGTTTTATTTTTATCCATATTTTATGATTAGATGGCAATTTCCGTTATTTCACAAATTAGGACAATGTAAGTTTAAATTAAGATATGCATGATCCTTGTTTCTGTTGCCAATAAAATTACATGTGCTTTTACTTGCTTGCACAAATATTATACCCTTTTAATGACATTTATATTTTATCTGGATTAGTTTTTTATCCTGCCTATGAACAGAGTAGTGTAAATTTTCTTTATGTTAATGTACTGGGGATAAAACCAGGCACGCTCTAATAATGAGCTATATGCCCCAGCCGCTTTCTATTTATGTTTGGAGGAAGGTTCTCATTAAGTTACTGAGGATGGCTTTGAAATTGCAATCTTTCTGCCTCAGAATTCCTAGTACCCGGATTACATGCATGCACTTTATTTATATATTTATGAGTTTTTTCTTATGTATTGGGTAAAGAGATTTCAACGGTAGCTTTAAAATATTTTGCAATTATTTTTATATTTTATGTGTTATTTGAAATTTTAATTGTAATTAAATCCACAAAACAAAACTTACTGTTCACCATATCAAATATATTGTTCAGTAATGTTAATTCAAATTGTTATGTAATATATCTATAAAAAGTTTACATCTCAAAAATCAATAAATAAATTCTTATGTAAACAAAGGCTCATTTCTGTCTTCTCCCCTCAGTAATGCCATTCTCATTTCTGTTCAGAAAGTTTTTGTTTGTCTGTTTGTTTGTGTTTTGTTTTAGGCATCTTATATAAGTAGAATTCTGCCATATTTTTCTTTTTGGTAGGGACCTATTTCAGTTAACCTAATATACTGAAGATTTATCCTGATTATAGATTTTACAGAAATTTATGGATTTTTTTTAACATGAAAAATATTCTGTAGTTTCTATATTACAAATTGCCTCATCCACTTATTTCAAGGAATATTTGGTTTGCTTTCTCATGGTAGCTCTTTTAGATAATACTGTAACAAACAATGGCATGCAAATGTCTTAATTTGCTACATATGCAAGAGATTATTACACTCCCAATTTAATATGCCTATCTGTTTAACTTGATGTCAGTACTACCCATTGAATATTGTAGCTTTTAATGTTTTTAAATCATGACACAACATTCTCCCAATTTTGTTTATATTTTGAAATTCTGGGGGCTTTCATACAATTTTGAGATTCCATAAAATTTCTGGAATATGTTTTTCTGTTTGCAAAAAAAGAAGTGGGAGTTTGATAGAAATTTAGATGGAGTCTCCAGCTAACTGAGGCGTACAAAGGGTTCTTAATTTTATCTTTCAATTCTGGAACAAGACCATGTTCAAGATTGTTCAACCAATTGCCACGTATTTCTGGATTTTTTTAATATTTATTTTTTTGGTGTAGATGGACACAACACAATGCCTTTATTTTTATGTGGTGCTGAGGATTGACCCGGGTCACGCCCATGCTAGGCGAGCGTTCTACCACTGAGCCATAATCCCAGCCCTTATTTCTGGATTTTTGAACATCCCTTCCACTTTTGATTTCTAACTTTATGCTATGATATTTACAAAATAATTTTACTATTTTTATACCTATTAACCTTTGTTTTATTCCTTATCAGGGTCAATCCAGTTTAATATTCCATTTGCTATTGAGAACATTTAGTATATAAGTCAAATTCATTTAAAGTATTTTTCAAAGTTTTTGTTTTGTGATTACCATTTTGTTTGACTTTTTTTTTTTTTTTTTTTTTTTTTTTTTTTACAGTAAATGGAGATTGGTATCTCCTAGTATTATAGTGTTACTTTCTATTTCTGTATTTACTTTTTCCAATCTTACCTTTTTATGTCTGGAAAGTATGATATGAGTTGAAAACATGTCTATTCTCATGACAGTATTCTAGGGAAAAGTCTTTTTTATCTTTGTATAATCTACTGTGCCTCTTTTTAATTTTTTTTAATTTAAAGTATATTCTATGCCATATAACTTCTTGTTTTAAATGGTTTCTGTATCATAATTTGGCAACCCCAGCTTTTTTTTTTTTTTTTTTTTGGTCACTTTTGTATGTAACAGTCATATTCTTTTGCTTTCATCTACTTCTTTCCTTAGATTTAGAGTTCCCTATAGATTACATTCAGTTGAATTTCTTTCAGATTTATTATTTTTATTTTTTAAAATTTTTATTTGTTCTTTTTAGATATACCATAGTAGATATATGTATTTTGACATATTTTACATACATGGAATATAACTTTCCATTCTTGTGGTTGTATAAAATGTGGAGTTACACTGGTTGTATATTAATATATGAATATAGAAAAGTTATTTCTGATTCACTCTACTTTCTTATTCCCATCCCACTCTCTTCCCTTCATTCCCTTTTATCTAATCCAAAATGAACTTCTATTTTTGCCTACCTTATTGTGTGTAAGCACCTGCATATCAGAGAGAACATCAGCCTTATGAAGTAATATTTTACTACCTCTACATTTAGCATACAATAGTCACTTCTAAATAGTCACTTCTATGCAGACTAAATTTTTCAATTACGGACTCAATTTGTCTACTACATACATAACAGTCTTGAATAAACTACACCCATGTACCAATAGTCCTAATTTGAAAATGTCTTCAAAATATAAGCATTTTGGCCCTCACCAACCTTGTGCACTATAATGCTAACATTTTCAGAAGACAATCCTTCCCAATAATTTTAACATAAAATATACAAAAGTGGTTTACTAATTATACTTTTGTCATACACTGGCAACCTCTTTGACATCTAGAAAAGCTAGATGTAGATTAGGACTTGTTGATCCTTTATATACACTAAGTACACAGCACAGTAAAACAAAACCCACAGACATAGGAACAGTGGTTACTCTTGCCTCATTGTAAGCACACTGGCATGGTGCTCCAGAGAATCAGCACACAATATGTATTACTCAACAGAGGTTTTGGCTATTTCCCCACTCCCCCACAAAAAAATTTTATATGAAATTTTTAAAAAATTACACATGTGTTATATATTACCACTTCTACTTTTGACATATATTAAGAACTTTAGAACATCTAGAAAGCTTAGATATTTCTAAAAAGGTATTTAGCATTGTCAACTGTATATATAGTGATGAGGAGTAAAATACGCATACAAAACAATGGTTACAATATGAAGAATTTCTTTTACATATAGCCAGTCTGGCACAGGACAATTTCTTCTTGTGGTCCAAGGCTTCTTCATGTCTTCTAATCCACTCAAAAGATGTGGACAAGTGCCACTCCTAGAAATGGTCTAACAACTCCATTTCAAGGTCACTTACAGAAGGTATTTCTGATTTTTTAAAACAAATGGCCATTTACAAGACATTATTTTGTAACTCTATTATATGTTATCAAACGTTTACATTTAGAATGTCCAGATGTGGCAAAAGTTTTGAAAATTTCAGAGCAGCTTTTTCATATTATATACACAGGCCTTGTACAACAGGCCAGTAAATCTACCTGAAATGTGGTAGACATTTTCAACTGATCAAATATGATATGTTACCCTACAGTTTCTGTCTTTGGTAGAATAAACACCAAATACCCAAGGGTGTTCACCCTTCCACCCATCATGCTCCAGGGCTTCATTCACCTTCCAGGATGGATAAGGCCTTTGTTTACCCTGCCAGGACAAGTTGTATTCTCGTGGAGCCCTCCTGGAATGGTCACAGAGAGCCCTAGTCTGTGCTGATGGGCTGTGGAATCCATCATCCACT